ACGTTTCACTCAGGACGCAAGACTTTTGATTCTTTAGCACAGGATGGGCATGATCAGCCATTGTATACTCTGGGATCAAATAGAAAGTGCAACAGAACAGACAGGATATCCACACATTGAATGACCAAGTCAATAGCGATCAAGTAGAGATTCTGGAAGATATTCCAACACCTTGGGTTTCTCTCATCTTCTCTAACCCCAGAACCCTAGCGGAGAGATAGGCTGTGATTCTAAAAAATAGATTAATAATTAATTCATATAAATAAGCCGATGAATGAGCTGAAAAAAACCGTTAATCATTGAACTCTAAACTTAAATATAACCCACTCAATTCCAGCGACGTCAGGCTCTTGCTGAAGATAAAAACAAACCAGCTAGGACACTTGACCAAGCAGATGTTGGCGGTCAAGATGATCATTAGCGTGGCAGGTAATTCAGCGAGGCGATGGCGCTTTTGCCCACACATGTCTGAATATTTAAACATTGTTACTTCAGTGCCTCGGCAGTTCAATCGATCGGCTGTCCCTTCCGGGCGGCTTGCCATATTATTCTGAGACTGGAGACCCCAATCTGGACGGGAGACCCCAATCTGGACGGAAGACCCCAATATGGACTGGAGACCCCAATCTGGACGGCAAACCAACATGGCAGATCCCAGGTGCCCCGTTAATTATCCCCCCCCCCCCCCAACTAATAATAATTTGAAAAATGCGGACATACAAACAATACATTGCACAATTGATTGCCAGGCATATTTGGCTGTATCTCGTCGGTTGTGCTTCATTAAATGTTGATGTAACTCAGCACCTGATGACAGAAAAAAGTTGCGCTACAGTCTGACATCATGGCACGGAGGATCATCTGTGTCAGAGTTGACTGAAATTACATGAGACAGAAGGTTGTGAAAAGACGTGACTGCCAATGACTTTACCAAGAAGAAGTATTTCTGCTAGAGCCCACATGGCAAAAGCCATCTTGGAGATCCAAAATGCCGAAAGCTGGGAGACCAGGTTGAGCCCTCCTAGATCATTTGTAACTGGGCTAAGCAGAACCCCCCCCCCCCCCCCCCCCCCCGCCCCAATCACGTACAGTTCTCCTTTTAACTCATTCAGTCCTAGGTAGCTTTAAATTCAACAGTATCCATGCTAAAGTTTGTGTTCTGTACCCTTGCGCAACAGTTTTTAGCCTCAGAGCGCTGAAAATTACAGCTTTGGGGCTGAAGGTGTTGTGGAAACAACTAAAACATAAGGGGTTAACCACACAAAAAAATAATAATAATAATAATAATAATAGGAAAATGTAAAGAACTGTGTACTGTATAAAGAGTAACAAATGAACGCACAGTGAGTTCCTTGGTACCGAAAGAGTTAAATATTTCTTATACATGTCATATTATATGATTTGATGACCGACACTTTTACGTCTTTCCAGATGATAATCTTATTTACACTATGAGGAGGCATGAGACTCACAGCCCATGGCGAGTGTGACTAGCAAGACCTGCCTTCGTTAAGAAAAGTCTTCCACAATGATAGCATGGGCTTTCAGGATCGTTGTTGTCAACATTTGAAATTTAGTCTGTTTCTTCTCAGACGCTCAGCTCTCATTCTTTCTGCGGTCATTTTCATTGCTTTCCTGATGTGCCTCCTCGACACAACATAGCATTTCTTCCCAATACCTGTATCAGTCATGTCCCACTTGAATCTTTATATCGTAGTAGGCTTCAGCCTCGACATCTTCTACCTATCTGTAATTCACCATAGAGCTGCGATTCTCAGCCTGTGGTTCGCGACCATTTTTGTTTGGGTCGCCAAAGAGAAAACAGATTCATTAACGTTATGAAATAGTAACGAAAATAACTGTACGTTTGGGGGTCGCCACAACATGAGGAACTTATTAAAGGGTCGGTACATCAGGAACGTTGTGAGCCACTGCCTTAGAGGATGTCCTTAGGGACTCTGCCATCCTCCAGGTGTGACCAAGCCACCTGAGCCTTCATAGACAGAGCATTGAGAAAACCGTTGTAGTACCTGCTCTTTCCAATACCTCAGTGTATGCGATCTTGTCCTGCCACTTAATGCCAAGTATTCTTCTTAGGCATCGCATGAGAAAGTTATTTAGCCGTTTCTCCTGGTGTGATAAAGTTTCACTGCCATAAAGCAGAGTGCTGAGAACACAAGCCTGATAGACAAGAGTTTTTGTTTTAATCATGAGCTTTCTGTTCTCCCAAACTCCTTTGTTAATCTGCTTACTGTTGTTGCTGTCTTACCTATCCTGGTGTTGATTTCTTGGTCCAGCGATAGTTTGTTATTCACTGTGGATCCCAGATAGGTAAAATTGTCAGCTGTCTCCAACTCTTCACCGTCAATGTATTTATTATTTATTATTTTACTTATTTGCCATTGAACAGATTATTATTATTAATATTATTATCAGCATCATCATCATCCATATTATGAACTTAAGCAAGACTTAGGCCTCTTAAACTTCATTCCCGAAAAGTTTACCAGAGGCTATAAGAGCTCATAGAGTAGGCAATACTGGGCCAGAAGGAGAACTTTTCAAACAAATAGTTTTATGCAACTGTCACTATTACGAATGAATGTGTACACTGTCAAATATCTTGTCTGTAAACCTCAGGGATACAATCACAAACCACCAAAGTCTTCCATGTAGACAAGATCAACTTTGGAAACAACACCCACAAAAATTCCATTTTGTGAATCTGAATAAATCTCTTTTTACTGCAAACACAATCTGCAAACTTGTCTATAGCTTTAAATCGGCAGTTTGCAAACATCTCAGAGCATCAAATAATGTTTATCGTAACATGACTACAGTACTGATTTACATCATCTAAACACTGGAGAACACCAAACACTGTTTATCTTAACCAGTAAATACAGAACATGTATGGTCTCACAGCATCCAAACATTTGAATACACCAAATTTGTATCCCTGGAAGTAAAGGCGGCTGGCATTATGTTGGCCATGTCATCCATTGAGTGCCAATTTGTCTATCAAATATCGGTCTAGAACTATAAACCTGATATGCCTATGGGTGTGAAATAGGGACTTTGACCTTTTTATACTCAAATAATGTAACACTTTTGGTGTTGTTTTTTTTTTAACATCTCAAGAAAGAAAGAAAGAAAGAAAGAAAGAAAGAAAGAAAGAAAGAAAGAAAGAAAGAAAGAAAGAAAGAAAGAAAGAAAGAAAAGAAAGAAAGAAAGAAAGAAAGAAATCAAAGAAAGAAAAGAAAGAAGAAAGAAAGAGAAAGAAGAAAGAAAGAAAGAAAGAAGAGAAAGAAAGAAGAAAGAAAGAAAGAAAGAAAGAAAGAAAAGAAAGAAAAGAAAAGAAAGAAAGAAAGAAAGAAAGAAAGAAAGAAAGAAAGAAAGAAAGAAAGAAAGAAAGAAAGAAAGAAAGAAAGAAAGAAAGAAAGAAAGAAAGAAAGAAAGAAAGAGACAGATTTTTGTTAAAGCTGTACCTTAAGCATGTTCATATTTTCTTTTCTTAAACATGCATTTATACATTTCATTTCATTTCAAATATTTGATTATATTTATTGACCATTTAGCACCCTATAATAATGATTACCAATACTGACAGTTAAACAAGGCTTACAACCGCTTGGGCCTTCCCCCCCCCCCCCCATGTATGTATGTATGTACATATTTGGAATGTATGTATGTATCTGTGTGTGTGTGTGTATCTGTAGCATATAAAACTATTGTCACTGGTCAAGCTACCCTACTCACAGGCCTCTGTAGACCTGCTGTCTGCACAGCTGAGAAGCCAAGCTGACCACTCACTACATTTGGCCTCATATGTGAAACAGCAAACCAGAATAGAAAAACACATATAGAATTCTTTTTCTTCTTCTTCTTCCTTTAACTCTTGTTCTACAGCATTCTGAGCCCTGGAAAAATCAACTCTCTGGCCTCAACTCTCTGACACTTAACTTCACATGTGAAACAGCAAGCCAGGCATTCAAAAAATTCATCTTGTTTTTCTTCTCCTCCAGCATTCTGAGCCCTTGAGATCCATTGCTGCAAAAATCCACTCTCTAACAAGCCTTCTCTTCCCAGTTGGTGACGCTAAGTGTATCTAGGTCTGCCTGTATATTATAATTTCATCATGGTATGGGGCGTCACAGGTCGACCCAGCCTAAAATAGGTATCAGGATGTATGTCTGGGGAAGTCAAGACGGCCAGTATTATGCTGACCACATTACCCACCTAGTGCCCATTGGTCTGTAAAAAATATGAAGTGCTCTTCCCACATGCCCGATGCGCCCAAGGCATAAAAAGGGATCTTAACTGTGTTTATCTCTCCACTGTCTTCTTGGCCTAATTTGTGGGATACTCCCACTCAGCTCTTTATAAACAAAATTGTAATATCAAAAATAATATCAGCATTTTCCAATTAAAATGTATACACAACGTTTCTTCATATGCATATAGGCAGATACAAATAAATCAGAAAATAAATGATCAGATCTGAGCAAAAATGTATGCAGTAGAGAGGCAGAGAAAGACACATACATGTGGAATGCTTTAAAACAGCTGAGACAAAATAATAATAATAATAAAATGAGCAATAGATCTTGATCAACAAACAAGATGACTGGCGGGTAGAGTTGCGTTAGAAATACTTCTGCTTGGAATGCATCTATCGTGGTGGCCAGATATTCCACAGCTGGGGTTACCAGGTGGAAAAAAAAAGTTAAATCAGAAAATTATCAGATCTGAGCAAAAATGTATGCAGCAGAGAGGCAGAGAAAGACACATACATGTGGAATGTTTCAAAACAGCTGAGACAAAATAATAATTATAATAAAATGAGCAATAGATCTTGATCAAAAAACAAGATGACTGGCGGGGAAGGGGGGAGGGGAGGGGGTGCGTTAGAAATACTTCTGCTTGGAATGCATCTATCATGGTGGCCAGATATTTCACAGCTGGGGTTACCAGGTAAAACAACAACAAAACAATTAACATTACAAGATGTCATGAGCTTCTATATAATGATTTGTGCTTTGTTCTTTTGCTGCATTTTGCCTGAACATGTTAATTGTGTCAATTACTTTTTGATAAAGAGGCGGAGTTTGTGCGAGTCCATTGTCCGGGAAACTTTCTAGAAAACGGACGTACTCCTCTGGGAGTCCATTTTGTCTGGCCCCGGCTAAAACCACTTTCTTGTAGTGTGGGCTTGGCTTTGGGTCATCAACTGTATCCCTATCCATCTCATAGGTTCTGCACTTGATTATCTGCCCCTGTTGGTTTGCAACGCTGACTTCGATTGGCTGGTAAAACACTTCCTGGCTGGAAAATAAAAAGAAAGACAAAAAATAACCAGAGGAGAACATAAAGAAAATAAAGGAAAGACAAAAATAACTCCAGAGGAGAACATAAAGAAAATAAAGAGACAGACAAAAAGTAACTCCAGAGGAGAACATAAAGAAAATAAAGAGACAGACAAAAATAACTCCAGAGGAGAACATAAAGAAAATAAAGAGACAGACAAAAATAACTCCAGAGGAGAACATAAAGAAAATAAAGAGACAGACAAAAAGTAACTCCAGAGGAGAACATAAAGAAAATAAAGAGACAGACAAAAATAACTCCAGAGGAGAACATAAAGAAAATAAAGAGACAGACAAAAATAACTCCAGTGGAGAACAGAAAGAAAATAAAAAGACAGACAAAAAAATAACTCCAGTGAAGAACATAAAGAAAATAAAAAGACAGACAAAAAAATAACTCCAGAGAAGAACATAAATAAAATAAAAAGACAGACATAAATAACTCCAGTGAAGAACATAGAGAAAATTTAAAAAAAGACATAAATAACTCCAGAGGAGAACATAAAGAAAATAAAAAGAAAGACAAAAATAACTCCAGAGAAGAACATAAAGAAAATAAAGAGACAGACAAAAAATAACTCCAGTGGAGAACAGAAAGAAAATAAAAAGACAGACAAAAAAATAACTCCAGTGGAGAAGAACATACAAGAAAATAAAAAGTCAGACACAAAAATAACACCAGAGAACAACATAAAGAAAATAAAAAGAAAAACAAAAATAACTCCAGAGAAGAACATAAATAAAAATGGTCAATCCATTTGCCCCAAGATCTAAAGATTCTGGGCTCATTTCACGGCTGCGACATTCAGTTCGTGGTTGCAATTTTTACGGCGATAGCTGGGGATAATCACCTGAGCTACGGTGTTCGTACTTTGTGTCTCTCTCGACAGCCGGCTAGCCATTTTGTGGAAAGAGACTGAGCCATATGGGATAAAATCAGGTGCAATGAAGTTGATCATCTAAACATTTAACCTTAAACTTTCAAAGAAAGCATTAAATGTATTCAGCATTTCAACTGTTACTGTGAGGTAATGCAATCAGGCAAGCCACAGTAGCATGGTACCCATGTGCTAGTCTGCCCGCCTAAAGGTCTTGAGTGTGACTCTACACACTGAGTCAGATTTTTCCCAAAATGACTCCGAAACTGACATTGGCTCGCAGGTAAAAAGAAAAAAACCTCACTAAAATTAGTACTAAGGTAATGTCATATTGACCATATCACCGAGTGCGCCGACTGGTCTGTATAAGTTTGATGCTAGCATTATATATGCTGGAATCTGTTGGCCCATATCCGTCTTTCCAGATGACAGGGATGCTTAGAGTGCAAGTGGCATAAAAACATTCCTTTACGCTTGCTAGTTAGTATAACTAGAAAGTTGATTTGAGGCCCTCGAGATGTGGACTTATTTTAAATTATGGTGTATTTCAAAGCAACAAAACTTATCTAACATGGGGGCTCCAGAGAGGCCAGAAATTATAACAGAGCTGACTAAAAAAATAAAAATAAGAACACTAAAATATGTTGGCCACTTTCAGAGCCTGAAATTTGCAAATACCTATGCTGCATAAGACACACAAGTCAAAGTAAGTAAGTAAATAAAACACCAATTGGTAATTAATGGGCGATGTGGTGATGACATCACCACAGCTGCTGCCTTTATTTCCCATAATATCTCCTGCTACTCGCTTTAAGCTGAGTCAGCCTGGCAGCCAAGTTACTGTTTTATAGATCTGCCTGAAGCAGATTTGAACCCAATACCTTTAGGCCAGCATCTGAGAGTTTAGCCACTATGCTATCAAGGCTCCCTACATCATGGAAAAGGAGAAACACTGTCCTAACAGGTCAGTTAGAGGGAAAGATCTGAAAAAAAGTTGCTAGACAGTTTGAAAATCAAACATGAAGATTTATAAAATAAAATCAAAAAGTAAAAGAAACAATTAGAAACTATGTAGGAAAAACAGGTAGAAAACAAGTAGGGATGGAACCAGTGTTAAATTACAAGAAGATACAACAGGTGAAATGGTTCGGTTATGTGTAAAAACTGTTACAGGATGCTACACCCTAGAGAGCCCTAGGAAGCATGGCTACAGGTGGCCCACATAAGCGATGGATAGATAGAATATCTGAGGCCATGAATACCAGCATCCAAGCAGCGCACACCAAGGTCTTTTCTTCTACTTTTCTTCATGCTTACCGGCTGTAATCTCCAGCAGAAAGTTCTGTTTGGTCATCTACTTCTAAAGTTTAGTTTTATTCCAAAACTTTAACTTTTACACATCTGGCTCACTTGTATGCAGACTGTTGGTTCCTTGCCTCTCAGGCATATATGCAAAAAAATAAAACCCTAACTAGTCGGCTTTTATGACATGCTTGTTAGAAAGCAAGTGGGTTTATTCTTGTTTTCCCCTTAATGAGTTCCCGGAACCTGCACAGGCTTTTTCAAAATCTGTCATTGAAAGGCAGAACAAAAATTAGAGAAAAGAAAGAAAGAAAGAAAGAAAGAAAGAAAGAAAGAAAGAAAGAAAGAAAGAAAGAAAGAAAGAAAGAAAGAAAGAAAGAAAGACAAATAGCCATTAATGACAAGACAGAACAACTTACATGTCTAAGGCCTGCAGATCATTGTTACTAATCTCCCAGATAATGCCACACACGTAGTCCTCGGGACTAGCCTGTCGAATTGTAGCGGTTGCTCCCATCCAGTAGTCAGAAGTGTACCCAACAGCAGCTGTCGGTGCATCATACCTAAACCTGTAGCCCTGCCCAGAACATACATAAATATGATAGAACAGTGGTTCTCAATGGCTAGTCCACAGACCCCCTAATTTAAGTTGTCTGTTTTATCATTTCATCATCATGTAGCAGGTCCTTTGCAGACCATCGCTCACATTATAGTCTGCCTGAAAGAAACTTGATCTCTCACCAGCTCTCCCAGATCATGCACTTTCCTATCTTACATTCTGTACCCATCTTCGCGCTGGTTGGTCCTGCCCCTCTTTCCTGGCGCAAAGCCTTCTACTATTATTTGTTTTCCAATCTGCCGCGGTTCTTGATATAACCAAAATATCAGTTTCCGAGACAAGATGCTGTTCACTAGCCAATTTTCCTTGATGTTCAGATATTTCTGGATGTAAATATTTCTTTTCCTTTTAGTTAATGGTGTTCTGAAAATATTTATATAGTGTTTCAGCTTAAGGCCGTGATATAATTTTTTTTTTTTTTAACACAACCTTCTGTTGTAGATTTTTTCTATGTTATCTTTCCATGTTGTTCCTGGTCTACCTTGTCCTCTACGTCCTTCTCATCTTTTCATGTACACATTGTATGGCATGACATCACAGGACATTCTCTCCAAGTTGGCAAACCATTCGATATCTGGCCTGGGAGTGTTAAAGAAAATGTCTCGAGCCATTAGTGATACACACTGGTACATAGAAAGGGCTGGGTGGTTCCGGGTTCAATCCCCGGTAAGGGCTGGGATTTTGTCACGCGGACTTGGACTTTAGTATTAGCCCCTGGTCTGTGGGTAGTGAGATCGGACGCCTGTGTGTATTGTTGCACACGTAAAAAATCCCCTGGCAGTTGGAAATTGAAAAGAGTAGCCACGAGGCGCTGACCGGGCAAAATCTGGAGTTAAAAATCTACCCAAAGTTTTTCAGGATCTTCGCTGGTGCTACAGAGCCTGTGCACTGTGCTGAGCTTCTTCGGACTCAAACTTGAGTTAGAAGAAGAACGGAGCATTTATGGGTTACTACCCGTGTGCCATGATGTTGATCCGTTGTTCAAAACCTCAAACACTGGTACATAGGTACTGTTCACCCAGAGAAAAAAAAAACAGACCCAAAATAATACAACAAACATGGCTGATAGTATGCAAATTGATTTTTTACGGTGTCTATAAAATATCACGAAAGTGACATCCATCATTATGATCTCATGTACATGGATCTGCATAATCTGCATAATCTGCATAATCTGCATAATCAATTATCTACAAGTAGCATTATCTGAAATGTTCATCAGTTGTTTAGAGTATCCCTGTGTGTCAAAATAAAACTGTGTTCTGAGTAGGAAAGTTTAAAAAAATAATAAAAATAAATAAAAACAATGAAAATTTATGAAATAAATAAAGAGAATGAAAGAAACAAAGAGAAGGCAATAAACAAAGGGAAGAAAATAAACAAAAACAATGAAAAAAACACAAAGAGAATGAAATAAATAAAAAGAGTATTTTAAAAAAAATGAAGGTAACAAAGAGTGGGAAAAAAACAGAAACAAGGAGAGTGAAAGAAACCAATTAAAGAAAAAAAGAGAATGAAAGAAGCAGAGTAAAAGAGAATGAGAGAAGCAAAGAGAATAAAGAAGACAAAAAGAATGCTAGAAAAAAGAGAATGAAAGAAACTGTGAGAGTGACAGAAACAAGGAGAGTGAGAAAAACAAGGACAGTGAATGAAACCAAAAGAGTGAATAAAACAAAAAGAATGAAAGAAGCAAAGAGAGTGAATGAGACAAGGATAATGTTAGAAGAAAGAGAATGAAAGAAATAAGGAGTGTGAAATAAACAGAGAATGAAAGAAACAAATAGAATGCTAGAACAAAGAGAATGTGAGAAACAAAGAGAATGTAAGAAACAAAGAGAGTGAAAGAGACAAAGTGAAAGAAACAAAGAGAAGAGATGGAAATAAACAAGGAGAATTAAAGAAACTGACTTGTGTACAGTCATATTGCTTAAGAATCAAAATAACCCAGAGCTATTATATAGGTCTTACTCTAGAATTACCAAAATAAAATTCATACAGAAATCCCAAAATGTTACTTAGAAAAACAAAGCCTAAAAGGCCTTTAAGGACATATCTAAGTACATTTCAGATAATGCTACTTGTAGATAATTGATGCAGATTATGCAGACCCATGTACATGAGATCATAATGATGGATGTCACCACCTCCTGGCGAAGTGTC